ACCTTTCACCTCGAAAAAATATTTTTCCATCATTTATTTTCCGAATGGAAGCCTCTGATGTTTTTTTTTCCGATTTTTCATGAATAATCTCACGAATGAAAATCACCATACCGTGAGAGGGAGACTAAAAAGACCCAATTTTTATCAACTTCTATGAAAAAAAAAAAAGACACCTTCTCTCATACACGACCCAAAATTGTTACCCTACTGTGCTATGATTATATACGAAATAGGTGGAAAATTCACATAAAGTAAATAAATTTGTACTTCAGTGGTGGAAATTAATCTCTGACACTTTTAGAATGATAATAAACACAAAATGGAAAATGTGCTACCACACAAAACTGATCTAATAGGATTTCGAAGGCCCGATAAATAAAACAGATGCTTCATTCTTTATTCAGTCTGTAAAAAGTATTAATTACTTTAGAATACTTTGGTTACAAGATGATATACGAAAAAAAGCCTGTTCCTCATTTTATCTATGGATATACTTCTTTTCAAATGATTTTCTCCCACTTTAGGCTGATTTCTCAACTGCCTTTTCTTTACCTTGCCGATAACACGCGTTTCAACGTTCGGAGGTTTGCTGCTCCACCACATTAGCACTCGTCGCTGCTCGTCCTGCATCCTTAAAAAGAGACAACGTTTTTTTGTTTTTGCATATTGCATTTTGCCATTATTTTTTTGTCATTCAAATGTCTCCCTTCAGAGATAAACTGACATGGATGGAAATTCCAGTGCTTATCAGACCCATTGCTCTAAAATTTCATGACAATCTACATCTAATTATCACTGAGTACCACTGGTAAACATAATCATTAATCTCCACCAGAAGTCCCTTGTTATCCTGTAAAATCAAGGTTCAACGGTTAATTCGTTTGAAATTTTGCCAGTTAGATCACGAGCTCTACCGCAAGATTGATTAATAGATTACATTAAGTTGTTATTAACATCTCTGGTCATTAGTCGGTCAATCTACGGTGCTTTTTTTTTTTTAGAAAAATAAATAAAGTCGGATGCTGGTACATAAGACAACGAACCTCTAGCGAATTACTACACTTGCTAACGAGATATAGAGTATATTTATAATGTAAAGAAAGTCGTGAATGCACGATTCATCTGTAACGCGTTTAATCTACCAAATAATGCTGATCACGTACTTTTATACATATACTGCGTGCTTTATCAAAGATGAGAGAGGAGAGGAAAAGTAAGGGGTAGTCATAGTGGGAGAAAGGTGATGACACTTGAGGATGTGGTGAGAAGGAAATTGTCGAGGGTTCACAAGGAGGAAACCAAAAGAATTATAGGGTAATGACATCCTAGAGACTCTTGGATCCAGTTGACTCTCACTTCAACTCTCTGACATTTTTTTTTCTCCAGTCGAAACATGGATTTATCCCAGAATACATCCTCTGCTACATTCAATAACAAATTAAACTCTTCAAACGCAAATTAATTTGTAAATAAATTTCATCTAAACACTGAATTTTACCACTAGACATCGATATTAATGGATCATTTAATCAAACAATTGTGATAGAACTATTCATGTTACTATTGTGCGATTATTCCATTTGCTAGTTACTATTTAAACATTGAGAGGCACTAAAGTTAGTCGTTTCGACCCTCGATATTTTTTCTCTTCAAGCCATTCAACGACCCACGGGAGGTGAAAGAGGGAAACCCTCCGAGTGGGACTCCTTATGCAGAATAATAACGATTCGCCGCGTCAATACAATTACCATCACGAGATTATGTTTAAGTTGAACTAATTCCGGGTAACGGCGTGTCTCAGATAGAACGAGAAAATAACCAGAGACTTGAATTTGGTTTTTCACTCTTTTCCCTCTCAAGTGTTTATCATCTTATCTAAGGTGATTTCACGTGGAATCAATCATTATTTCATTTTTTTTTAAATCGATTTTGAAAAAAGTCCATATTGTCCCCCAAAAATCATAGGTCTGGCTCCGAGGCTGGAGGTGAAAGGAAAAATGTATTTTTGAGATTGTTGCTACGTTCACCCCGTGCCGAAAAGTGCCTTTTCGTTTACTCGTAAACGAAAAGTAAACAGAAAAACTTTTTGCACAATTCGGCACTCGCTGAACGTAAAATCACTGTCAAAAAAATATTATTCGACACACGTGAGCCGAGAATTTTCAGCTCGTGTGATTGGCAGCCCTCAACTTCGCCCCGGTTCGCCAACTTCACGCTACTCGTAAAAATTCCATCTCACTCGTCTCGAAATATACTATTTCAATTATTTGATGGTTCTTGAGCAGCGGTTGAAAAAAATTCTTAGAATTGTAAATAAAAAAAATTTTTAGATGAATCTTTTGGAAAATGGCCGACAGGAGATTTTGAGGTGTATAAATGTATACATGTATATTATGGGTGTAAAATTCCTCGGGTTACTTGGCAAATCGAAACGCGTCGAGGGAGTAGGAGAAGAGCGTCATAAATGCTATGGGAACAAAGCGCTCAGCACACGTCACACGGGTGTTCTCCTGCGTCGGCACGTAGTAGCGAATTGCGATCCAGGGACTCGGAGGCATTTGATCAGACATGCCGTAGAAATTAAACGCGCCCCAAGGCATGTGCCACTGATAACACTAATGAGTATTTTTCAACTCGTTTAGCAGTTTACTTTATATCGGCAGAGATTACAAACTCATCTCAATAAATTTAGTGTATCACCAAAAAACAATAATTTGAGTTTGAGTTTACGGCCCTGGTGAATAGGAAGAGTCAGGATATTCCGACTTGTGGAGCCATCTGTGCTAGTAGGTGGGAACTTTGTCTTAAAAATCATCCCCCTCTCGGATCAATACTCGCCACCACCCCGATGTTGGAGGCTGCGGAGAGAACGCGAGAACATGCCCTCAAGGCAAGAGCTACTCTCTCCCTCGGTCCCTTTATTTTTTTTTATTTTCATTATCACTCTCTCACTCTCTCACCCTCTTCCCTCCTCTTTCCCTTTCCTATCGTCTCAGCTCTTCCGTCTTTCGTCTGCATGGACCACCGAACCTCCTTCAAACTTGACGCCAACTTCTTTCCGACTGTTGAGAAAGATCGATATTATACGATTTGCCCTCACCGCTGGTCCTCTCGTTTAGCCTCCTGACTCATTAACGAACTTTGACAGTCAACTCCGCCTCGATGGCATCTCATGAATTATTTTCCCACCCTGTGAATAGCCCGGATAGCACTCTGTTCAATTGTCCGGAGTTCAGAGAACTTGATAATTAGCGTAGATTTCCTTAATCATTTGAAAATTTCCCGCCCAATTTGCGACGTTAATCCTAGCGCCTAGCGTGAGACTTGGGAGACAATGAAAATGGTCGATATGTACAAAATGGCTGATGCGTAGACATGAGATTTTATACTCATCCGGAAGCCTTTAAAAGGGATGAAGAAACGAGTGGTGTGAGGGGGTGTATGAAACATTGGAAAAACCGGGGCGGATGAAGCCCCATACATACGGGTCACGCTTTAGCTCTGTCATGGTCGAGCTTCACCCATTCCATACTCTATCATATACCAGAGCTTTTGCACAGCTTGCGGGCTTTCCTTGTGTCGCTCCCTCGCTATGCAGCTTCTAATAACATAATTTAATTTCGAGCTTCTTCCCCCATCAATTATGCAGTACACATATCACTCTTCGAACAAACATTCCAATTTATCCTATAGTCGAGTAATAATTCCTAATGACACCATCCCTTCAGTCTCCAATGAAACTGTCATGTCTTGAAATTGCTAAATTCAATACCGTGAATTACTACCCAACATTTTCTATAGACGTGTTGATTTTCTCCGTTGCGGTCTCATTTTTCGTTTATTCATTACTCGAGAGTTGGGGAGAATGGGAAAAATTGGAAAACCACACTACAAGAGTTGATCTCGGGTTCGCTGCAAGCCATTTGATCTAGCCATCAGGCGCATTGCCGTTGTGACAACATACCTCTCTTTTTTTAATCGTCAAGTATAAGTCAACCTGTCTATTCCTCACACCGTTCGTAATTTCTCTTATCGGTTTTCGAGGGTGAGAATCAACCTTTAGAAGTCCATTAACAATATTGCCAGGATTAACATGACTATTTTGTGATACCGGGTTATCCGGAACTATAAAATTTCGTTAAAACTCCGACAAAGGTTGCAATCGACTCGAGACTGGCGACAGGTAGTAAAGGGTGTAGGCCACTTTAAAAAGGGAAAACTGGAATAGCTCGGGGGTTGAAAAGGAAGAGTGAGGATATTCTTGATGGAAAAAGCGGTGGAGAGGTAGAAGGGGAATCGAAATAAGCGGCTTACGGAAATACACGTTGCTTACCGTGTAGTCCACACTACAAAAGCAACATTGACGTGAAAAACGGAATGGATTATTCGACAAATTTTTACGATAACCCAACGAAAAACTATTGAACAACTGGCTCAAAGCTCGCCAATAGCCTCTGTCCCATTTGCCCATTGGAAAATGCATGAGGATAACTGAATATGTGACCCGGAATTCATAACGAGACTTCAAATCATATCCAGTGAATGATATTGGGTTTTTAAAGCTCGCCGGAAAGCTTTCAGTGGCGGACAACGCCGTATGTGCGGGTACATAGAGTAAGACGAGAAGGAGAATGAAAAAAATGATAAAAAAAAAAGAGAAATGGACGAGTGAAAGAGTTGAGGGGGAGTGCAGGAGGGTTAAAAACGGATCGATGAAATCCGGCACTTTCGCATAAGCGCCATACGTCACCCGCTCTGTTGGCCCTTTTACTATTTTTCTCACGTTTCTCGTTGGTACGAGCCACAGAATAATCTTTATAAATAATTCATACTAAAAAGCAACTCACTGCGAGTCTACCAAGTTTTCATCATAAATTGTTCAATGAGTTATCCATGTGCCTGGAAATCATGTGATTTCAAACAGAGAAAAAAAGAGATATATATTTTTTTTCCCCTTTATGGAACAGAATAAAATTCTAAATTCTATGTTTTCTCTACAGCTGATGGAGAATAAGATAGAATCGACTATTGCACTGGACAATCGTTATCGACTCATGCGGAACGAGCCGATGTACGACGTCAGTGGACAAGAGACCGACGAGATTGGAGATGATGAACCTGAACTCAGCGAGGAAGAGCTGAGAGAGAAATATGGGAAGTGGAGGAATCAATAGATGAGGAATAAAGAGAAAAAAAAAATCAATAGAAAGCCATCAATTTACAAGTGCTATCATCAATGCGGAGACCAAGGTTGAGTGGAGTATCTTGATGATTCCAAACGTTTTTCACATGCCTCTCAGAGTTTCTGAAGAGTCGACATTGATCGCGAAAACAGTGAGCCCCTTGTTTTCCCTGGAGTTCATCTCCGAACGTCTGCAACTCATGAGTCTTTGAGACTCATCAGTGCAGAAGATAAGCCAGAATAATCAAAACAACTTGAATGTATCCCCAGCACAACAAAATTCCAAATAAAAGTAGCATGATTAACTATTTTAATGATAAAACTGGTAAACGAACTCGACTTGTCCATTTACAAATACTGAAAGTAGAAATACTGGATATTATCGAATCCACGAGGTGAGCATTCGGTTGCAGGCGACCTATTTTCCCCCAGGTCGTGATAAAAAGGAAATAAAAAAGAATGCCAACGTACGTAGACAAAATACATCGGTGGTTGTTTTGAAAACCCCACGAGCTGTCAGTGACATCGTGTACAGAGAGCGAGACTCACTGCCAGCGACACCTGTTAAGGATGTCCCCTGTAATCGAATACTCTTATCTCCGGTACAAATTCTAGACACGGAGAACACCAACGACAGTTCATTCCCGTTTTCAGCAATGATTTTCGATTTTATTGGCATCATGAGTCACAGTCGAATAGTAACTACAATTCATCCCAAAATAATGTCGATTCCAATTAAAATTAATGATCCAGCATTGTTGCATTCCATCAACTTTCAATCGAGAATATCCCGTGGGATTTGCATGCTTTTTCGCTTTTCATTCGCGTAATGAGAATTTCTCCGGTGATCAGCGGGGAATATTCAATTAATCGAGTGCTTTAGTGGAGCTTATTTGAGTTGGCATCTCTGAACACCAGCTATAGAGGTATTTTCGAAGAGTTTGAATGATCATTGAGGCTATTTAAATCCCTCGAAGTCACGAGATGCTCGTAAAATGGGCAGATTGTGGAGTAAAGGGCCAGAAGGGAGTGTGCCAGGTGCCTAACGTGGACTCTGAAGGCAAGAGGCAGCTGCCACTCGAATTCACAGACCGTGTGTGTTGTCTGCATCAGCATGGAAGGGGATCTATGAGAGTGTTGGAAAGTGGAGAACCAGAAGGAATGATGGAACAACCCGGACCGGCTGAGAACAACAAAGACGCGCATTGAACCTTGAACAATAGACTAGGAGAGAGAGACCCATGGCAGTGATGCTCGATAGCATTTTTAACATCCAACAACCACCCGACCACCTATAAATGCACACCATATACATTACTCGAGCATACTGCACAATTGTCGTATGTATTTTGCTGATTAAGCTTTAACAATGGCCGCTCTGATGCCACGAGATTTCACTCAGCCTTGTTACTTTTCAGCCCACGAAAATTGAAAAAAAAAATATCGTTATTAACTTATTCTCATGTCTTTAGAGTTTAGAAAGTCGAGGGGGAGGGAGAATTAATCTTCATTTCTCATTCAGAATACGCCTCATTTTTTTCTCTTCGCCTTTCTATGGCAAAATATTAAAGTATTATACCGCATATTCACCCATTTCTCGGTTTTCCAAGGGGCATTTTCATTTCAATTATTCACCTGGTACATGAAAAAAATAGTGGGTTGTAATTTTTAGCGTGATGAGAGTTTATGCACCGAAAAATATGTTGTCATTTTCATTAGGGACATGAAAGTCACGGGCTTTATATTTTCACGGTGTGCATTATCAATGCTCCCTAGAGTCTGCTGTCAGTCAAATGAATGTTCAATAAAGTTGGAGTGAAGGAGTGCCTACCTATTTTGGAATAATTATCCGGTGGAAGGAATCTCGGGACTGTCTGAACGAGATAAAAGGAATGACGTTCAATAGTCAGACCCTTCCCTCACAAATCTGACAAAGGAGTAAAGCATAAATGCGATTTAGTTTGTCTTTCGCTGTTGTTGTTATTGTTGTTGACTTGAGATATGTGAAATCAGTGTTGCGAGAATAAGTAGAATACTAGATGGAGAATGTTGCACGTGGAGTTTATAGAGGCATGTCGGTTGGAACGATCGTAATACGCATCGGACGCCCAGTTACCGTTATGTAATGGGAAAGTAGTACTTAACCTGCACAAGTACGTCTCTATAACGTCTCTCACGTTGCATACAATCCAACCAAGATGTGAAAAGAAACTCGGTAAACCATAACTAGGTGCAATATTTCCCACAATCGAGAATAGATCGGTCTAGAATGAATACAACCAGTCAACAGGTTTAATTCCAGTATTTTTTATGTATCTGCAGTGGATTTTCAATTGCTCTCATATTTCTGTGCCAGTGTTAATTGCACGCTCCGATGCGAAAATTATCGCGGCTGGTCTACGTTATTTTTATTTATTTTTATTTCTTTATTTAGTATCAAATCATTAATTCGAAGCGGGGTATTGCGAATTTCATGAAAACTTGACGATTTATTGTCGCTTTAGGGTCTTTGTATTGTTTATTTCGTTATCGTGGAGAATTGAGAATTACACAGGCAATACGCGCACAGTAACAGCTGTTGTTTGGGGCACATTAAGGCTCTAACCATTTGGGATTATACTCCATATCGGTGGGACTCAGGAGACTGTCGAGCTGATGCATTCCAGTATAACTGACATACATAATTCAGCTTCATTTTGATTTTATTGTGCCACATGTGTGGATTGAATTGTCAATTTCGATATGAAAATCAATACAAAGAGTAAATTACGATTGAATTCAGCGGCAAACCGGCAAAATGGAATAAGTCGAGTTGAGGGTTATTATTATCTCGCTTTACCACTCTGCCACTGAATTATTGCTGTGAATTTATAAGAGTCGGGAAAGTACAGGACAATTTAGTGCTGAATAGTCATGTTTCGATTATAAAGTCAAGTACGTTGCGGAATTCCTTTGAATTTGCAGTGAAATTTGAGTACAACCATTAAACTATCCACGAAGTTTAATTCTGTTCTCCAACAGTTCAATCCCACAACCTATTGCATGATTTTATTTTTTCAGAAACGAGGAGGAAACAAGTACTAAATATTCACTGTGAGTAAAACTCTCCAGGTGCAATTTTCAGGGACATAAAATTCCCCCGAGAGATTTGTAAACAGTTATGGAATAAAAAAAAAGGAGAAGGGAGAAAGGTATAGAGCGACTATACGCCCGGTACGTGATTCGAGTGAAAGCTTGGAGTGGTGATTACATCGCTATGTTCTCGTCTATTTCTGGAGCATGGTCTATAAGACCAAGGGTTAAGTGTCTTCAGCTATTCAACGAGACTTTACTCACTGAAGCTGGTAAAAAATGAATCCAAAGAGATACGATGAAACAAGAAAGAGATGTGGAATTTGACTTTGAAGATTATGAGAGGGGAGACAAAAAGAAGAATATCGGGTTCACAGGATGCCAGAATTATTTTTTTCATCGTGGTGATAAACATCAATTCTGGCTCGTGCCAAAAACGCGTGTAACGACGTGTAAAGCCCTCCGTTGTGCTCATACCCTAGGAGACCAGAGGGCTCAACATTTGCAATCGCTTGCAGCTGCCGTCCATCCCACCTGGCACATTTTACCTACTATCCACAAGAAAAGTAGGGGAAGAAAAATCCTCCTGTCATTCCCACCTCCAGCCAATCATCGAACTGAAACAAATGGACCACAGAATTTCCCCAGCTCCCAAAAAAAAAAAATCCAAGATAATCACAAGAATCAGTCTTTCCTCAACGATCTGAAAACCGGATTGACAGAGAGGGAAAGGAGACGAATAAGTCAGGGACACGAATGCACAGATGAAAGGAGAAAAGAAATAATGGGGAAACAAAATGAGAAGAAATAGAGAAAGAGTTGAAGGCAAACGAATGCTCGTCCTTGGTTCTCAGCTTTCCAGCACTCAACATCACCGTTCAACGGACCGATCTCTCATATTCTTTTTGACACATCAAGCCCGGAAGACGCAAGTCGATACCCAATAGACGGTCTCATTAACCATTTTCCCCTGATTAATTAAACCATCACTTATCGACTAAATAAATGGAGAACATCGGAGCAACGATTTGAAGGAACAGCACGAATTTCACTCGAAAATTCACGAGCACGATCAAATGTAATTAAACCTCAGATGCACAAAATCCCCGGGGGGGCAAAAAATTGAAATGACCCGTTTGGAGAGAAAAGAGAGGAGCAAACGAGATTTTTCCTCAGGGTGACGTGGGTGGTCACCACAAGAGAAAAGACCTGCGTATGCATGAGTGAAACGAATGTAGCAAGTAGAAGGGGGAAAAAAAAAACGTCAGCCACCGGTTTGAAGAGGGGGCAAACGTCGGAGAACTGTCACGCAGACCACGTGCATCGACCGAGCATGACGATCTCTTGTTTTTACAGACGAGAAAGGAAGTTACCACGGATAAACAAATAGACAATTGTTTTCCGCAAGATTTCACATTGTTACTTGATTAAGAAGAAACAAAGGCTTGTAAAAGCGTGGAAATCACAGTCCACCGATTCCTCGTTAGATTTCTAATAATCATGGCAATTGCAAAATAAAATATAAAATAATAATTAACTATATATTTTTTAAATATTCATTAAATGATTAAGCGCGAATTGATTGGGTGATAGGGGATAATATTTGGGTGAATCCGGAATGATTGCAGTAATGAAAAATTTTAGTGCGGATATTTGAGTATTGGCACGAATGAATATTCGGTTGAGTTTGGCATCTATTTGTGAATTTAATGATAATTTTCTGTTGATGATATGGGTATCAGTGGCCGAAATTGATTCGATTTTCAATACAGCCCCGGGATATATATCACTGAATATTCGTGAGTGATCAATAACAGCTTGAAGCTGTATCCAAGTATTCATAAAATTGATTCCAAATGCATGACATTCACCTTGTACTACATACGTTTAATATTTCGACGTCATGCCTCGAGTGAAGGGAAATATTAAAACAAATCCCTGGGTATGAGTAAATTTGCTTACTGGCACTGCAAGTGTGGCAAATTCTCGCTGACTCAACGCATTTCCCGGGGAGTATTAAAACAGTTTTAAAAAAAGGAAAAAAAAATCCGGAGGAAGTTACGTTATATGGGATGAAGATAGCGGTGTTCTTAACTCTATGAGAATAACGCAATGTACATTTACCATGAGACAAGGATAAACCTAACCTAACCGAATCAGCATTAAAGCACCCTTCCAGGAATTCATCCAGTCTCGTTGATACCGTATAATTACTATATTTCCCCCTGGATGAAAGAAACGAGTCAAAGACAGAGGGAACAAAAAGCGCTGTACGGTTCCTGATGTCGTTTTTTTTTCGCGATTGGGAAGAGGAAAAGGGGGATTCCACTGTCCAAAGAATGGAGCACAAAACGCTGAGTATTTGGCGTTGCCATGGCCACGAGTGAGGAGTTTCAGGGGCACACAACTAGACGCCACACAGTCTTTCCCAGCAACTCAATCCCTCACAGAGAAATTATTTCAATATTACCGATCAAAGCGTGCAAATACGATGAGCTGACAATGGAATGAAAAAAAAAACAAAAACAGAGCGAACAGGATAAAAAAAAAGTGATATTAAAGCGTGCTCGCGTATTACCAAGTAACTTGAGCAAGCTAATACACACATAAACAGTGTGTTGAGTCATAAATAAGTGATTGAAGCTTACCCGACAGCCGGAAAGGTCGTATAGGGAAACATTGTTTCCTCAATTGGTGAGAATAAAGCCACAATTGTCAAAACACTAAATTCCAATCCTCGTTTACTCACAAATACAACGTATTCACTCTGTCACGTTATGCCAAGGGTTCAAGGTTATTCCGTTTTGCGAATAAGGAAAAAAGAAAAGAGAAGAAAAAAAAAAAAGAAGATAACAACGACGGTAACTATGGGAAAAAAACAGATCGACGGATTGGCTCAACCGCCAAACAGGATAGCACTGATTCTCACTGACTATCTCCCTCTTGCACACGGTTTTTCCAGAGTTGCAGGAGCCAGGAAGACCCGCACAACAAGAGAAACACTGTAACCGGCTTGAATGTACTAAAAATCGCGCATGCGACTTATTAAGCAAAAGGATGTATCAACTACTCCACCTGATGATGTTTTTCGCGCTACTGCCGATTGAAACAAAGGACTCTTGCAATGACCCGCACATTAAAACAATCATGCAACGTTATGTCTGATAACTGCGATAAAACACTGGAATTAATTCGATTGGACATCACTTGGAGGCTTTAAGCAGTGGTGTAGTTTTTGCCGTTTGGGAATCAACAATCGATGGTTCTGGCTGTCCTTGTTTTATCTTTTTATCGGGTAAAAACAATAAAAATACAACGAAAAGAAAGGAAGGAGCGGCGTGGATGCGCGTCTGTGAGCCACGGCGGGTTGTCGGCGTGTTGGCCTGTGCGGCAGCTGTGTCTCAAGCCCTCGGACCCACAAGAACAAGAGGGGAATGCTGTTGAGAAGGGGGTTTATACCACAGGGTGGGGGAGATGTGCGAGCTATGTGCATACGAGGGAGATGAACCAAGTGCGCTTCAGGAAGGGGAAAATACGGGCTAGACAGTGAAACAGACAGAGAACGACAAGGGATAGGTGGGAGAAGAGGTGATCGAAGCGACTCCATTTCACTACGCGGCAAACCACTGTACCAATCCGTACCCTTCGGGGATATGCTTGCCAGGAGTTTTTGTCCTTACAGGGGTTCTCAATTTTATCCTCCATTTTACTACTTTATTTACTATATCTTCACGATTCTCTTTATCCTTTTAATTTCCATCCCCCCATTAATGAGAGTCAGTCAAAGGTGTGGAGATAAACGAGATGTGAAAAAAATTCGAGTATAGATGGAAATAACGATCAGCTATTTGCGTTTTGCATTTTATTCATGGGGTGATTAATTTTTCAGATGAATTGGTTAAATGTAGAAATAGAAATAGAATGATATTATTATGGGCATCCGTTGTACGTTCACATTGTTGCGATGAAATAACTGGCACTCCCAGTATTATAAATACGTGTATCTTATGCAGGACCTTCGAGTTTCACAAGTCACTCGAGTTGGTGTTTTTATTTACTGACATATTTTAGGTGACGTAGAAGGAAGTTTGAGAGTGAATGTAGTATTGTTGTGATGTAAATACGAAACACGAGAGAATGATCGACTAACTGGGTGAAGTAAATTTGTTCGATACGAGAAATGAAATAATTGTGGGTTGAAAGTATCCAATGTCCTGACTTCCTAGTCTCGTATTTCAACGAATCAATTGGGTCACCGGGGTTTATATTATATGGATTCCCCCTTCACCCACCGTATCCCCTTGTTTCCTCAATTGTACAAGTTAGGGAGGGCGAAAGAGTGTGGGCGAGAGATGTCTGAGGTGCAATAGTTTCTCGTTCACTCGCGAAATGCAATCGCTTTCCAAGCGTCTAGCCCACGTCCCTTTGTGTCGGCACGTTCAACGTCCGGTTTGCCAATGAGTGGTAGCAGTTAGGGGAAAGGGGGAAAGAGGACTAAAGGCTCTCAGCTGAAACGTAAGGAGAATCGATCTACAAGTAAAGCCGGTTTTCTCCCATGCAGCGATATAACTAGTTGTTAACGTAAAAAAATTCAGGAAAAAGGAGGTGAAAATAAATAGCGAGTGGTTGTACTAAAGTGTACTAAAGTGTTGAGCTCGAAGGAGGTGGGGAGAAAAAAAATAACGAAAAAGGAATCATGCTGTTGAGGCCTCTTTTGGAAGACATTTGAGGCCGATCGAGGCGAACAAAGAGCAGGAAGAGGCGAGATGAAGGCCTCACTCGGGTAATCCGAGCACTCCATTCTCGGAGGTAACTGGAAGAATTTTGCCATTTTGTCAGCTCCAGGTGACAGTGCCCACATTATCCAGAAATAAATATCTCCTTTATCAAAACATCGAGTTGAATAACAAATCGATAATTAGCATTGAGGAAAATTGATTTATTTGTACGTGGCGTGCAGTCTTCCAGGAAGACAAACGATCGGTTGCAAGCGTGCTGGGGTACGGAGTGGGTTCACGTGAAGAGAATAAAAGAGGTGAAATGGGGAAGAGGGCATACGAGCACTAGTTACCAACAGACAGTCGCTATCTGCTTCCTTTTCGCCCTCTTCTCGCCCACTTTGCCTCCCTCCAGAGCCGTCTTCCTGCCTCACCAAGCCCTCCTTCCACCCTCATCCATAAACCTCTCTTTCCCCTTTAACGTTCATTTCTACCCTCTTTCCCATACTTCTCGAGAGGAAGGCAAACCACAAGGAATACTCAGTGCATCAGATTAACATCGTGTATTGTGATGTCCTCGTCGTAACAACAAAAATACCTCATCGCATGCCTCTCTACCTAGTTCATCCCTCTTTCTTTTTAACCTCATCCAGGACAAGACTCAATCCACTCCTCTTCGCTTTTGCCCTCATATTTCGTGGAATTGAAAGTCTAATTTTTTTCCTCCCCGTTTTTTTTTTCTCCATTTTTATCGTAGAAGCGTTGGACATCTACCAATTTTTAAATATATATTTTTCCACGACTCGTGGATTCTATATTCAGACATGCACACGGAACCACCGGAGGGGGGTGGTTTAAATATCGCGGAAATTGAACCGATAAATTTTTGGCAAACATAAATCGCTGGCTTGGTGGCGTAAACTAAAACCCCTCGCATTCTCTACCCTGACTAACCCCCTGGAACCATTGGGGTGAACGGTGGGGTAAGAAGGGAGAGACTATTGGTCGTGGACGAGCACCGACAAACACCAATGGAATAAAGGGAATGAACGAGCAAAACAACGTAAAAAGAAATCGCGACCCCCGTGGAACATTTTTATTTGCAGTACGCGTTGAAAATTCAAAGTAACTCCACTCAGAAAGTGCTTATCTTCTCAGTCAGAGTCTATTTCTTCAGAGTTAATGGTCTCCTCCACAGGTAGATAAAAAAAATGAACCAAAAAAAAAAAAAGACCGCCTTGCATTTCAATTTCCCGGAGAAGTTTCCGTAATCGATAGTCTGAGATTTATATAAAGGAGGGTAAAGGGAGTCTGGTTAATTCGGTGCAGTAAGGTGAAAAAAAAAAAATAAGAAAAAATAAGAAAAAATATAGGGTGCAAAAGGGGAATGGGGAGAAGTAGAAAATACTGGCTCGTGGCAGACATTGTACCAGGCCGTGCACCCTGCGTGACGAGGAAATGCGTGCCCAACCGAGATTTCGATCTCGTCAGACGACGTTTACGATTCACCGTTTACCACTTAACGTTCTGGCATAACTATGCCCCCCCCCGTCCCCCCTCCTCATCACTCGCGTCATCTAAATCGGGAAAATTCATCTGGACAGGAGGGAAACCTGATCAAGATTCCACAGGGTGAAAAAGTTAATTTCATTAGTGTAACAGCAAAATTGATACGTTTCCCCTCAAGCATTTAAGCTTGCAATTATTTTTTCACCGCGAAGCTTTTTCATTCCTGCATGAGAAGTTCCCTTCATCATTCGGTGAAAAATATTTTTACTCTCCGCGAGAGTTTTCGTTTCATTATCTCTGCACTGAAACATCTTGCACAAATGTAATTATTTGAAGCACGCAGAGTGGGAAAAAGGGACAAAGTTGATGAGGAAGCAGAAATTAAACGTCAAGGATCATTTCAGGGGGCTATTTGGTTTATTCGCGTCGTCCCGGCTCGACGGTTTTTAATTTCTTTTTTTTTCTTTTTTTGAGGAGAAGAGAGGGAAGGTGTAATCGGCTCGATGGGTCCGCCATAAGTTGTTCAAACGAGTCGTCTGAGTGGGACGTTATCGGCCCGATTTCATCGGGTGCTTTATCTGTGACCTTTCTCTACATAAGAGCTTCTTTCCCCTCCATTCATCGAACAAGATATTTCACGAAGATTGAAAACTACTCTCGGGTAATTCAAAATTCATCGTTCACCCGGCATTCTGGTTTCGCGGATAATTTCGAGGGTGGGGCAGAATCGATATTACGTATCCGATATGGAAGCCAGATGCTTCCTGAGAAGCCCGTCAATGCAGTCGATTGATCGCTTGTAACAGAACCATTGTCCGCAATGTTTCATCAGTAAACCGTGTCTTTGTTATTTTCTCGGAATACTCTTTAAAATTTTTATTCTATCAAATTCAAATTCCAGTGACAAATTTTCAACAGCTGGTGGAATCGCCTGAGATGATAATTCAAGGATCTCTTTCACAAGTTTTAACACCCGGGATCGGAAAAAAAATCATCAATCCTAATATAAAAAGGAGACAGCAAATCGATCTCGAAATATCTCGAATGAGCGTGAGGGTAAGACCCGTGAGACAAAACCGACTCGCAAAATTTTGAAAATTCAGAAAATTTCAACAATTCAAGGAATTGCGAAAATTTGGACATCATTGTGGAAACCAAGGGGGATTGCAAATTATTGAATAAATTTTGCCTGGAGGCAGAGGGCGTAAAAATTTTGAAAATTCAAAAAATGCCAAAAATTTATAAAGTTGTGAAAATTTGAGAATCCTAGTGGAAGCTGCTGGAGGCTGCAAATTATTGGACAAATTTAACCTAAGGGCAGGGGGAGCGAAAAAATTTTGAA